GTGCAGCCATTTGATGAAAGACTTCAGATCCCGAGAAAGGGGAGATGTTCATAATATATTCATACATAAGAGAGGCAAGTCTTCAAATAGTATATTTTGTATCATTTTGTGTACATGGAAGAAAAATAATCTGGGCAAGACAAACGGGAGTGTTTATATAATCTCTGGGTTTACAGGTTTGTTCTCTTTTTGCTTATTTGTGTTTTAAGAGGTTTCTGGGGGCGCCTGGGTGGCTCTGTCAGTTGAGCATCTGACTCTTGATTTTAGCTCAGGTCATGATCTCAGGGTTGTGAGTTCGAGCCCCGCATGGGGCTCTAGGCTCGGCAAGGAGTCTGCTTAAGAGTCTCTCTCTCCCTCACCTTCTGCCCCTCCCCTCGTCTCCCTCTCCTAAAAAAAAAAAAAAAAAGAGGTTTCTGCAGTCAACATAAAGTGCTTATAAAGAGGAGGAGAGGGGTCTTCCACAGGGAAGCGAGCCCCTCCAGGTTCCCTCCATTCATAGGACATTGAGAGAGAGAAGCCACTGGAAGGGTCTATGCACTTCCAGCAAGGCAGCAAGAATTTCCCAGGCCCCCACTATGTGCCCGTTCCCAACAAGCCCCCACTATGTGCCAGTTCCCAACAATCCCCACTATGTGCCCGTTCCCAAAAAGCCCCCACTATGTGCCAGTTCCCAACAATCCCCACTATGTGCCCGTCCTCAACAAGCTCCCACTATGTGCCCGTCCTCAACAAGCCCCCACTATGTGCCCGTCCTCAACAAGCCCCCACTATGTGCCCGTTCTCAACAAGCCTCCACTATGTGCCAGTTCTCAACAAGCCCCCACTGAAAGGCAATGGGGAGAGGAGTCCCAGGGGGAGGGGAAGTTGAGGGCCCCAGGGGGCAGGGCCAGGGAAGGAGAAGGCCCAAGCTCGGCGGGGGTGGGTAGAGTGGGGTGGCAGGGGACAGTGAGGGCTTTTCATGGGATGAAGTCCGGGGCAAGGCAGCCCTGACCTAGTCTGTTCAGGGAGCCCAGAGCAGTTCGGTGAGCTAGGCAGGGCCGTGTGCAATGGGGAGCCATGGAATGTTTAGAAGGACACGTGTTGCCAAGGACAACGCAAAGCAAACCACCTCAAGACAAAAAAGAGGACAGTGCTTCCCCCAGCTGGGAGGGGCTAGGTGGCCCCTGTGGCAGTCCCATCTGGGGAGAGATGTAGGGACCAGCCCCAGGCCTGGGGCCGGGACCCCTGGCACCCCTGTGGAAGGACTAGCTTTCGTCCCTTCCTCCCTCGCTCTGCACCCACCTCTCACAGCAGCCTTTGCTCTGAGACCCTCTTACCATGAAAAGTAAGACTCACACCACTTGAGCTCCTCTTGTACGGAGCCCATCATGGACACTATCCGTGCCCCTGCTCCTCTGCCCCCCCATATGGACGCCCCACCTGCTCAGCCCCGCCCTCCCCATCGGCCCAAGCCCCTCCCCTGGACCTTCTGGAAAGCGCAGCCCCGCTCCTCCCTCCCTGGCTGAACTGGAAATCTGGTTTGCGCCTCAGGACAAGGAACGGGGCCCCTACGGCCCCCTCCCTCCTGGGGAGCAGTTCTTCCTCTTGAGTCCCTGACCCCAGGCTCCAGGAGTGGGCAGGGCTCCTCCGGACCCCCGTGGTGGGTTCCAGACCAGGTCCGTGCTTTTGTCCCGCACAAATCCCAGCCCTCTCCCCTTCCCGGCAGTCCCATTTCCAAGACCCTCGGCCACGGAGGGCGCCCCTGCGTGGGGCTCCAGCTCAGCCCCGTTGCTGTAGTTGCTCACTGCGCAGTCCCAGGGCCTGTCTGTTCTTGGACCTCACCGCCTTCCTTCTGCTCCGTCTTTGCCTCCCCCTGTCACAAGCCGACTTTGGACTTTTATTTATTCATTGTTTTTTACTGTGGAAACTAGGACCATAAGAAAAGATAAGTTTCGTTCTCGCAATCCCATCCACCCTCCAGAACTCCTCATCCTGTGAAATTGAAACTGTCCCCATCCGGCACCGGCTCCCCAGCCCCTGGCAACCACCGTCCTTCCCTTCTGTTTCGGCGAATTTGACAACTCTGGGTACCTCACACGAGTGGGATGACATAGCATTTGTCCTTCTGTGACTGGCTTCTTCCACCCAGCATGAGGAGATGTGCTCAAGGTTCATCCATGTTGGAGAATGTGCCAGAATTTCCTTGCTTTTTAAGACTAAATGATATCCCTTTGGATGCAGAGACCGCGTTTTATGCATTCATCCACTGATGCACACTTGGGGTGCATCCAATGTTTTAGCTTTTGTGAATAATGCTGCTGTGAATGGGGGCCCACAAGGATCTGCTTGCGTCTCTGCTTTCAGTTCTTGGGGGGCTATGCCCAGAAGTGGGATGGCTGGATTCTACGGTAATTCTACGTTCAATTTCTTGAGGACCCGCCCTACTGTGTCCCATAGCGGTTGCTCCATGTTACGTTCCCACCCGCAGCGGAGGGGTGGGGGGGGGGCTGCGGTTTCGCGCACTCCCACCGACCCTTCTTCCAGTAGGCGACTCACTCATCACAGCGGGCTGGTGGGTCTCAGGCTGGGCTCCTGCAAACCCACTCTTCTTTCCCCACTGGTCTGTGGAGCTAGTCCTTCCTGGGGCAAGTTCTACAACATGACTGGCCCTACACCTTTCTAGAATGTCCCCCAAGCTTCGGAAGTTGCGTATACAAGTTCTCCCACAGGTCCCACTGGACGGACTTGTGAGCAACCCTTGGCCCTCCACCTTCGGGGGGTGCTCAAAGTGCTGTGTTGGCCTGGGTATCCGAAAAAGCGGGAGATAAAGGGTCATCTTGCCCACAGGGACTTCACCCCGGGGTGTGTGGGTCCAGGGGGGCCTGAGTGAGACAGGGAAGAAAGAGAGCCAATGCCACCATGTGTTGCTGAGTGTGTGACCCCCTCGATCCTTGCTGCTGGCTTCTACGGGACCTTCTGAGGACCAGCCATTATGAAAGGCATCAGGACCAGCCTGGCTGGTCTCAAGAGAGGGTAGCACAGAGGTCAGCCTTGGCCTCCGCTGCGGGCAGGCTGGGCATTAGTGAGTATAGCCGGCTGGGCCCATAGATAGCCTCTAACTCTGTCCCCATGGCCCGCTTGCGGTGGGCTCATGGTGCAAGCACCAGGGGGCCAAGGACGGAGGCTGGTGGACTCCACAGGACCAGTCATCCTGTCCACTTGGTTTGCTTAGTGCCCCCTCTGGTGGCCATTGATACAAAGTACAACACTTTGTGCCCACTTCCTAGGTCATCCACCCGCCCCTTCCCCCGGTCCCAACTCCCAATTTTTCAGTCTTGCTTCTTCTAGACCCTCAACCACGCAGCCAACACATTCACCACTGCCCATGTGTTTGCATGTGTCCTGACCTCTGACCTCTTCTCCCTGCCTACGAAGACGACCAGGCATGCTACCTGAGGCCTCTGCCCACCCTGCAAACAGGGTCTTGCATGTAATCCAGCTCCACCAATCAGACAGAACCATTTTTTTTCTTTTTCTTCTTTCTTTTCTTTTTTCTTTTCTTTCTTTTTTTTCTTTTCTTTCTTTCTCTCTCTTTTTCTTTTTTTCTTTCTTTCTCCTTCCTTCCTTCCTTTCTCTTTCTCCTTTCCTTCCTTCCTTCCTTTCTTTCTCTTTCCCTTTTTTCCCCCCAAATTCCTTTTTGCTTCAATTGGCCAGAGTCGTTTCTGCTTATGGTAGATAGTGACAATGACCACAGGAATTCTTCCCATCCCTGTGTGTGGGCGGTTTTACATTCTGTCATTGCCATACTTCCCAGGACAGGGAGTCTATTTCTCCAGCCCTTAAATCTGGACCTGGCCAATGGGACATTAGCAAACAGGGCTCAGCAGGGCCTTGAAGGGTGCAACGGCCCTGAGGCTCGCCCTCTTATGTCCATGGGATGCCGCGGCGTCCACGAGGCTGGGCTAGCCTGCCGGATGATGACGGACAGGCGGCCAAACCATCCTCGCTGCCCCAGCTAAACATCAAGCAAACCTACACATACAAGTGAGGCTCCCTGAGCCACAGAGCACCAGCCACATCCCAGGAGGGGGTTGAGAGAATCTTTGGGGCGAGAGTTTCCCCGGGAGAGGGGCGCTGCTGAGGACTCACCTCACTGCCTCCCTTAGGGAGGGAGCTGGGCTTCTGGAGAGCACCAAGGGAGTTCTCTGAGCTTGTGCACTTCTCTGAGACTTTCCTTGGACTCACACAAGGGGTCCATGACAGTGACCCCTTGGCAAGGCCTTCCCTTACTCTCTGCTTCCATCTACCAGGCCTCCCTTCCCCTCCTCCCCCCAACACTGCAGGTACTTGGTCCTCTCTCTTAGGGTGCAGTGAGGAACCCAGACCCATCCCAGGGTCCCATGGGTATCCAGGACACCTCATTCCTGTGGGTAGGCGCCCACGGTCGGCTGGGGACGGGACGCACAATTTCAGAGGGAACCATTTTAATTTACAGACACACAGTACATTTATTTCACATTTTAAACCCATCAAGAAAATGGCGCTAAAATGTTTGTGGAGGATCGGCCCTGCTGAGAGGGGGCAGGGGGCCGAGGACAGGCTCCCTGGCCTGTGTCCATGCGTGGATGCTACCCTTTAGCAGTTAGAACAACTCCAAGCCGCTGTTTCTAGGAACAGGGCATCCAGCCCAGCCCAAGAGAGCATGGCGTTGCATAGTTTTAGTATGAAAAGCGAAACTACCACCATTTATTGAACCCTTGCTAAGTGCCAGTCATGGTGCAAAGGGCATTTTCCCCACAAAAACCGTTTGAGCAGGTACTCCTTTGCAGGCTCAGGAGGGTGAAGTGACTCGCCCAAGGCCACCCAGCAAGACCAAGTATAGAACACTGTGGAAGAACCAAGAAAAACAAAATCGCTCCCCCAAAATGTTCCCAAACTAAGAATTATGCAAAAATAGTGCCCTCTGTATATTTACTGACAGTTTCGTGAATTGTTTTAAAGCACAGGTGGGTGTCACCCGGGCTCGGCTTCCGACCCCCTGGGACAAGTTCACATCCGTGTTAACTGGGCCCACCGGACACCACGGATGCGTGGGAGCTCATCCTTCAGTGGGCACCATGGACATGTCTCGTTCATCATCATTTGCATCTGGGGTACCTGCCTCTGCTATTAATCGACACGCCAGTGGCCAGCAAACTACCATCTGCGCACCCAGGCCTGTACGTTAAAAGTGGGTTTTTTTTGTTTTGTTTTGGTTTTACATTTTTAAATGGATGGAAAAGGTAAAAAAAAAAAATTACGTGACACATGAAAACTCCACAAGATGAAAAGTTCAACATCTGTATATAAAGGTTTATTGGAACAGAGCCGTGTCCATTTGTGTATTGTCTGGGGCTGCTATTCGGCGTAGGATGGCAGGGCTGGGTAGCTGCAGCAGAGAACCTATAGCCCCGAAAGCCTGAAATACTTACTATTTGGTCCTGTGCAGAAGGCTCGGGAACATCCAGTCTCTTGAACACGCATCCAGGGAAGAGGACACCAAGGCCTCCTGGATCTACTTCCCTCTTCTGAGCCGGGTGACTCAGAACATCGGTGGAGTGCTTGGCCCTCCATGCCTGGGGCTCATTTATTCCACTGCTCCCCCTGGCAGGCTCCAGGGCGGGGGGCAAGGGAATGTCCTTATTTTCCATTAGCCTTTCCCCCACCTTAACCTCCCTGCGCTCCTCCGGGTGCCCCGAGGGCCTGGCGCCGTGTGAGCCGCACACTGGACAGGGCCACGTTGAGGGCGTGAGGCCAAGGCAGGGGGACACTAAGCAGTTCCTGGGGCAAGCGGGTGTTGGCGGGGGGTCCCCTGGGCAAGCCTGGGATTGAGGCTCCTCTCACCTGGGATGGGACCAGTTCCGTGCTGTTCAGTATCACTGGCACACGTGGACACAAACAAGGAAACTGCCAAGCGGTCCACCAAACGCTCGAGTTAATTAATATGCCATTGAAGCCCTCTCGCTGGAAGTTTCGAGGGGGTGGTTTCTGAAACCTACTGCTCTCGGCTCCAGCTCCCGGCCCAAGAGGGGCTGCACAGAGCTGCGGATTCCCCTGCTTCTTGAAATCTGCGGCCTCCTGCTATGCAGAAGACGCGTCCAAACGACACAGAAGCCTGCCTTTCCCCCTCCTCCTGGACATCACCAGAAAGGTGTTACAAGGACGTGGCGATGAGCAGGTTTGGGGCGCTAGACACATGGCACAGAGAGGAGAGTTCCCTGCATGCAGGCTTCCCAGCCCCCAGCCCAGCAGCCCAGCCCCTACCCAGCCGCGGGGCTTTTCTCTTGGTGGTGGGGGGAGATTACTCACCAAGTCTGTTTTTCCATCTGTAAAATGAGGCAAGGGTTGGTATGAGAATCAAACAAAGTAATAAATAGTAGATTGATAGACACTTCCTTAAAACTGCCACACTGGGCCACAAGGGTAAATAAAGGATGTCTGAACGCAGGTTGCCCCGGTGGGTCAGCTGGGGAAGGAGCTGTATCCTTACAGAAGTCGTCCAGCCGGAGCCAGTGTGGTTCCTGGAGCCCTAACTCCAGGCCTTGCTCTGAACAAACACACCCCTCCCCAAAAGGAACCCGCGAGGGGCTGCGGAGAACCAGCACTCACCCCAACGGCGGGTGTCCCCGAGGGCTGCTCCCACTTCATGCTCAGGAACTTGTTTCAGCCTCACCGTGACTCCCTGAGCTCTGTGTCCTTCCCCCCACTGGCAGGTACACAGGCGCTGGGGCAGGAGCCCAGGGACACACAGCCAGGGGACCGCCATGCCCGAGGAGGGAGAGAGCAGTCTTCAACAAACAAGCCCCCAGCCGGCCTCTCCTAGGGACTTAAGCCAGCTCCCGAAGTGCAGGACCGTCCCAGAGCAGGAGGGCGCCGGGCGGCCTCCCCCGAGTGCAGACCTTGGGGAGCCCCAGTGTGGAGTCACCTCTGCAGCCTCCTCGGCTCAGATGCCCTCCCAGGAGGCACCCTGGCGGCTGTTGAAAGGGACCGCTCTGAACAATGAAGAGATCTCCAGGGCACTTGAAACACTGGACTGAGAGCTCTCGGGGCCAAGGAGGGCACCCACAGATGAGGTCTGCCTGCAGGGCGCAGACACGGGTGCTCTTGCCTTGCTCAGCCCCTGCGGGGACAGCAGGCTCTCAGCCTCCGTGCCTTCACGCTCCCTGAATTCACACCGACCCTTCACCTGCTTGGCTTTGCCTCTTGAGCAGGAGCGGAGATTTTCGGGGCTCACTGTCTGTTCCCCGCAGGAGTGCAGTGCTCTGCTAGGCGGATGGCTTCTGATGGGGCTCTCTGTGATTCCGGTGAGGAAAGGACCATCTGGACGCTCTCCCAGAGGCGCACTCTCACAAGGGCTTGGGGGGACCAGGAAGGGGCGTGAGCAGGTCCCGAGAGCTTCCACAGCTGAAGATTCAAGGGTCCAGCCCCAGGGGTAAATGGGCTCAAGGCCCCGTAGAGATCACGTTCCGCTCAGCGTCTTCCTCCTCGCCCTGGGGAGACTCAGGACGGCCAGGCCCTGAGAGTAAGCTCCTCTCCGGAACTCTGCTAGTCCTCTGGGCAGGGAGAAGGGGCGGGATCCACGAGGTCCGGTCCTGGGCGCGCGTCGGGCAAATCCTGACCGCCCGGGTAGCCGGTTAGCAAATTCACCGACTCCTCTCCTTACTCACGTCCGTGTGGTCACGAACTTTCCACGTTATGGCTCGAATCTGGGTGGCAACCCATGAGTGTGCGGACTGGCCCATTTCTACCTTGTGAAATCGATGACAAGAAATTAAAAAAAATACTCATGGAAACATAAAGCATTTATTATTGCTATAGTCAAGGCAAAAATCTCTGAAAACAATTGGCCTTGATAATGGGGGTAGAATCAGAACCATTATTCATGAGTTTACAGTCTGTTCTCTGCCGTCCACACATCCCGGTTTCACATACAGCACCCACCATGGGACGGACCTTTGTTATACAAGAGGGAGAAGAACGAACTTGGGAGTCACAAACCATGGCTTACCTACCTCCCCTAGTTACCTGACTTAAGATCAATCACTTACTCGAGGTGAAACTTTTTCATCCTGTGTTGTTTAAAAAAAAAAAAAAAAAAGGATGGGGCAGGTGGGCCGGAATGAACCCAGCTCCTTGGAGGACCTATTGAGATCACGTGGGTGAGGACTATGAGAACATAAATGAAATTGCCCAGGACGCTTGAAAAAATGATACACAACAGAGTATTCCCAGTAACAGTGCTTATAAGCCCTGCAGGGAGGGGCGGGAACCCCATCGCATAGCCTACGTGCGCACGGCCTGCAGGACAGTCACCGAGCATCTGAAATCTTGGGGCAGGACAGAGGATATTAATGCCGGAGCCTCCAAACTCACCGAGGAAGGAGCTGGCTTGACAAGCCACGTAATATGGACTCAGCTTGACCCTAGGAACACTTTGTCAGTTTTATTTTACCTTAATATACATTTGTACACGCAAGAATAAAAAGGCTATTACACAACGATCCCGTGAGTTTTACCTAGTTTCGAGAATAATGCATGCAGTTACAAATGAGAGGTAGAAACACTGTATTAAAGACCTAAAAATACAAACATCGTATAAATAAATGTTCAAATTAACTGCTGGAATTTCATACAGATAAATAAGGTAAAAATTACATTACTTCGTCAAAGTAAAGGAGAAACCATGTTTTTGTCTGTCTTTATCAGTACACTTAAAATTAGATTAATGCCAAGGAGCTTCTGTGCAATTTGTCAGAGTTTGGATTATGTTAGCTAAAAGGATAAAAATAAAGGAATTAAAACTGGAGAATGGTTTATTCAAGTATTCAAGCAGGTGAGTAAAAGAAACCAAACCATACACAATGCAGGAACCGTTTCTGAAGGGACATGACCTGCCCGCGTTCTCCGTGACTAGCTGTTTGGTGAAGGGCCAGGACGAACACGGACAATACACACCAGGCTGGAGAGGGCTGCCCGTTTTCCTAAGAGAAGACAAACCTCGTTTCTCACTAACTTCATGTAGAAACTCCCCATCACCAACAAGCCTTTAGGTCGCCAACTTTGTTTCGGCCCTATTAAAACTTTTTGAGAGTATCCCGAATTGGTATTTTTTTCTAATACTGCCCAAATAAGCCTAGCCTTTAGTAAACCCAGAGATCACAGGCGTCGATGCACATTCTGCATGCACAATAAAAAAATACAACCAAAAGCAAACAACCAGCAGCTCAAAAATACCACTGAGAAAATCTGTATGTGTAGATGGATAGGTTAAAAAAATGCAAAGGTTCACACGAACGCAAGTTTTTACCATTTAAAAGTCCACTAGAGATTACGTGTGATTTCTGGAAAGGGTGTGTGTATATAATATAATCAAGTAAAATATTTTAAACAAGTCCATTGTGCCTCAGTTTTAAATTGCAAAATCCAATACAGTTGTATTAATAAATTAGTGCAATATGAAAGATTTTGGAAGATTAACGTGTCCATATTAGATCAAATAGAAGATTTCACAATTTCTTCCAAGAGCCTTCTTCTTTCAGCTTGTTCTCAAGCTCTATCTTCCTGCGCTGGTGAAGGATGCGTGCTCAGATTTAGACGAACCTACCCCAGATAGCCAACTGCCTGGATGAGATGTCGATTTTTTTTACTTTTATACCTCAGTAAACACGTGGAATTTCACACACTGCTCTGGTGAACTGAGTATAGAGCCATTCACTTTGTTTCGTTCTTAATTATCCTTAGGAATAACTGTGCTGATAATTCTATTTCTAAGGTACATTTATTGACCACGTTCAAACTGAGAGCCAAGTGGAATACTCTTGCTTCTGTTTCTACACAGAAAAGGGAAGGGGTGACGTCTCCAATAAGGCAGATTTCCTACACGTATGTAGTTTTTGGATTGTTTTTCCTTTTTGAAGTCATGCTTGTTCTTTGGTAGTCACCACGTGAGAAACTAGGGTTTCCTGGGGATGGGGAAACAGAACCCAAGCTGTGATACCAAACTTCTCTCCTCAGTCCCACCACTGGTCCAGGGACGAGCCCGCGGCCGCTCACAGGGTCGCGGTGCTACAGCAGAGTGCTGACAATCTTCTTTCAATACTAGTTTTATCTAGAAATAAAATAAATTCATATCCAAAATCATTTCTATTGTCAAAACCAAGGCAAGAAGAACTAATGGAAAAAGAAAAAACCACCACTAATTCTCTACATGCATATCTCTGTACTTTCTTTGGCCCAACGTTAACCATTCTGAGTATTTTTTCTTCTTTCTGCCTGATTATTGCTGAGATGTAATTTCCAGCTCAGTGATGCGCAGTGATGTGGCAAAACTTAGCACGTAAGATAAAGGACACTTAGATCTTAGGGCGCCTGGGTGGCTCAGTCATTAGGCGTCTGCCTTCGGCTAAGGTCATGATCCCAGGGTCCTGGGATTGAGCCCCGCATCAAGCTCCCTGCTCAGCGGGAAGCCTGCTTCTCCCTCTCCCACTCCCCCTTCTTGTGTTTCCTCCCTTGCTGTGTCTCTGTCAAATAAATAAAATCTTAAACAAACAAACAAAAAAAGGACACTTAGATCTTAACAGCTAGCTTTCTCACAACTGCAAATCATTTTAGAACTGCCATCCCCTTAAGGCTCTTCAAAATGTGGTGTGAGCACATATACTCCAAATGGTCCACCACCTCCTCCTCAAACCCCAGTGCTTCTATGTGATAAATGATATCATCATCCTGGCAGCCTATCAATCTCCACTCTGCTGTCTATTCCAGATCTATCGTAGAGTCGTCAGAGAGTCTTTGTAAAATTCTCTGGTCGCCCATAAGCTCACGAGGCTTAAAATAGCTGCATTTATTATTATTTAACAACAAAACCAAAGCTCTCTCCACACACAAACACACATCTGCCAGCACAGCACTGCACTGTAAAAATCAAAAGCCACCAGGACTTCACGTGCATCAAACTCTGTCATCTTTTGGAAGAAGAAACAGACCACAGAAAGGGTAGGTGATTTGCCCAAAGCCAAGATCCAAACCCAGGCAGTAAGATGCCAAACTGCTTGCTCTTCCTGCTGCACCTGAGGGAGACAACTCCGTTGTCATCGATAAACACACTGGTTTCTAAGTCAACTTACATTTATGCACATTTTCAATATCGGCAGGGTCCTGGAGAATCTTAGTTAGGCCTTCCAGAAGAAGGGCTGCCTTATGATAGCGATAAACAATATCTTCCGTCTGCTGAAACATCTCATCCAGGGCTGCAGACTGAACCTGAAGCCAAGTCAGCAGAAACGAGAAGAGTCTCAACTTTTCTGAGAAAATACGAATCCATTTGGGCAATGCAGCTTTTAATGCAATCTTTCTAAAATTAACACATTTTGGGTGCCTGGGTGGCTCAGTTGGTTGAGCGGCTGCCTTCGGCTCAGGTCATGATCCTGGAGTCCCGGGATCGAGTCCCACATCGGACTCCCTGCTGGGCGGGGAGTCTGCTTCTCCCTCTGACCCTCCCCCCTCTCATGTGCACGCTCTCTCTCTCATTCTCGCTCTCTCAAATAAATAAAATCTTTAAAATTAACACATTTTGACAAAATGGTATAATCTACCAAACTATATAAAACTCAAAGATTCATCAGATGGGCAAAATAAAACAGGAGCTTCTTGATGAAAGAGTTACTGCTTTCAAACGTGATTTTGGACTCAGACGCAGGACTCATAAAACTTACGCTTCTAAACTGGCTCTTCTAGGATTACACTAAAAGGTTTATTTTAAACATACACTTTCATCCTAGGGCAACTTCACCATTTCATTAGAGTATTTTGTTATAATAAGATCATTAAATGGTGCTAAAAGTCATCTGTTAGCACTGCGCACAAGGGGAAGGAGAGCACACCGTCCAGAGGGATGTACGGGTCTGGATAACATGGTGCTCTAATTCCAATGGGTACGCGGTATTAGAGGAGGAAGCCCTGGAATGGTACGGAATATATACTGGGTGCATCGAAGCCAACTATGGAAGGAAGAGAAGACTAGGGAAAGCCTCCAGGAAGTGAGGTTTAGGTTGAGTCTGGAGAAGGAGCCGGGAGCCCGCCAGGTGGGTAGGGGCTTTCTGGAAAGAGGGGATAGCAGTAGTATTCACAGGCTGTATTTGAGAAGTTTTCCCAACAGTATTCTGAAATGAGGCCCCAAATGGCATCACTTAGGGCAAGTCAGTAAACCAAGACTTAATACCCAACCTAACTGCAGTCTCGGTCCCTCGGGAATGTAACTTTTAACCAGTCAACATGGCATCTCCTGGTCAAGAGACCCCTTCCGCTCCCCCTTAGGAGGGCAACTTTGCCTGAACAATGCATTTCTGGCTAATAAATTCCGTTCTTCTTTTTTATGGCCCCTCTCTCCCTTTTAAAAACCTTTGCTTTATTTAGCTCAGCAGAGCTCCCCTCTACTTGCTAGACGGGATGCTGCCTGATTCATAAATCATTTAACAAAGCCAATTAGATCTTCAGTTTTACTTGGTTGAATTTTGTTTTTGACCATTCTCTTTAAATCATTAAATACCAGGACTGTCAGTAACGCAGTATCCTAATGTATTTGTCAATATCATCTGGGTTTCTTTCAAACAATACTTTAAAGCCACTTAACAATAAAACAAACAAAATGGGTACAGAAAGTCCATTCTGAAAAGGAAGAAGAAAGAACTAAACGTAGTGCTAATAACAGTAAGCTGGCTATGCAGCTCAGGCAAACTTAATACTGCTCTTATTATCAGAAAAGAAAAGAACACCGTAAGAGGACATTTTTCCTGGCACAAACTTCTAAAAATAATTTATCATATGAAGTGTTAATTCAGTATAGAGTGATAGAATGCATATTATTCATAGTGACAGTTTAGAGCAAAATAACGTCTATTATTCTTGTCAACAGTTTATATTCCACAGTTATTTTCCCATGACTTTTGATAATGGCTTTCAGAATGAGGCCAAGGGCAGTATAACAGTACAATTCAAAGCGGACAAATCTGGGGGGGCGGGGAGAAGGAGATTTATTATGTTAATGTGGCAAAAATAACATTGGTCACTAATTTCTTCCCCACTTAACTACTTCTTTAACAGTCCCTAATTTCCTCTCTACTTCAGAGCAGTTTTCCCCTCATGAGACAGAAACAAATGATTTCCAGTAGTTACAGCTACACAGTTGGAAACGCAGGTTTTACTTTGTGTCTGTACTTGGTCAGTAAGTAGAGTCTGGGCACGTGGACTGCGTAACATAGCAGTACTTCTCCTCACGTTTTATTATGCCAAAATTTCCTAAATAGTAGAAAATGCAGATCCAGCCAAGGCTCTTAGAAGCAAAGTATAAAAAGATTAGACAGTCCTAATGTTAGCAATTTTTAAGAGGTACAATAAAATGTCACCAAGTGTGGTAGCCAATGTTACTTAATGTGTTACTTGTGCTAATGACATCCAATTACTCCTTTCGTAAGAGGGAGTCACAATGTTTGGGACTTGGGAATGGTTAAGGGCAGAAACTCTTTTGAAAAAAGAAGAACGCCAAAGGGCGCCTGGGTGGGGCAGTCGGTTTAGCTTCTGACTCCTGGTTTTGGCTCAGGCTGTGACCGCAGGGTCATGAGATCGAGTCCTGTGTCGGGCTCTGTGCTCAGCACAGAGTCTGCTTGAGACTCTCTCTGCCCCTCCCACTAGTGCTCTCTCTCTCTCAGATAAATAAATCTTTTTAAAAAAGAAAAAAAGAAAAGTATCAAGTAGGTATTCAACTCAAAAGATACTCTTATATAATATTCAACCTTAGAAAGGGTTACCATTTCTACAGCACAATTATAGATGAGTTTCTCTGCAGTCACGCTGTTGATTTCATCAATAAATCTCTGTTTGTCAGAGAAGAAGCGAGTCAGCTTTTCTGTAAGTTTCTTGCACATGGTGATGCAGAATTTATATCGTTCATTCAGATTTTTGACAACTGGAAAGAAGTTGAGATGAGAACTAATTTTAGTTTTCCTCCCAAAATAAAAATGAAGTGACAGTAACATGCACCTTTTCCGCTGATTTAAGTAAAGTGGCACTAAATGATCCTTGAGGGAAAAAAGAAAAGACCGGAAATCAGATTCTTTCATGGGTTCTCTTCCAGTTAAGAAAAAGTTGAGAATAAAGCGCTTCTGTTCTATCAATTAAATGGCAAAAACAAAACCCAGCGAAGTCAGCATCTTTGCCCATCTAAGGATATTTAATAACACAGGATTCCTCCTCAAACTCTCTCTCGGTGTGATGGGGAAAGGGGCGTTGTGAGGGCGTGGGCGTCCAGTGGTCACGCTGCCCCCATACCTTGTTTCACAGCCGTGGATGGGCTCAGCTTCCCGGACTTGATCTGGGCTTTGGCAAGATGCAGAGAGGCTGCTAAGAGCTGCGCTGCTTTCATGTATAACACCAGCTGCTCCACCCGCCTGCACCGGGAAGGAAGACAGCAGAGTGTTATCCCGGGAGCCAACACGCCAGGCTCCACTCTCTACGCATCGGGTCAACATTCAGATAGCATTTCTAAAGGAATGCCATTCTCCTTGACATTTTTTGTGCACAAATAACTCCTGAAGGAAAAAGGTTCACTTTGAATACAACAGGTAGACTCAAAAACCAGTGCAATCTCTTCATCATCAAGTATCTTCAACAGCATCAGTTACAAGGAAAAGGCAATGCTACGGTTGCAGGATCTTCAAGTCCTGGCTCACAAGTGAAATCTAGCACAGTAACATAACTAAGAGCTCCCTTGAAGCTTTTCATAAGGAGACATGATTGCTGGTGTGTGACAGGCCCTCCATCTCAGACACGAATTTACAGAAAGCACAGAGAATCTGGAAGTGAATGACAAAGGGGGCACGTACCCCCAGTCTTTGCTCAGCTGGCTGATCTGGTCCACGACCACACTCTCCTGGATCTGGTACAAGGAGACAGCGGATGTGCACAGCTCCGGGTGACCCCCCCTCACGGCTGTCAGGTCCAGCACGCACTCCGTGAACATCAGCATCATGTTGAGGTGGCGTAAGGTGTCTGTGTGTTCTCGCTGTGGCAAAGCCAATTTGTCTTAGAAACTTGCAGCTAAGAAGAGGCGCATACTTGTTTCTGTATATAAACCATGGCCGATGCTACAGTGTTTCTATACTTAGGAATATCAGAATGAGCAGAACAGACTAAGATTTTTAAATTCTAGAAAACTAGTAAGAAAATAAACACAGGTGAAACAAAATGTGGGTGTGTGCATGTGTTTGTGTGCATGGATGAGAGCGGCCACAAAATTAAGTTTCAAAGATATGAGGTCACTGTGCTTTTACTAGAAAAAAACAACAAAACCAAACAATTAAATCAATATACATGACAAAATAAAGATCGGGATTGTAAGGATATGCTGCACATTAAACCATACTTCTTGATAGTTTTGCAAATTCTACTGTCTTACAGTTTCAGGGATGCTTTATTTTAATTTCTGCTGGGTTTTCAGTTCACAGTGATTCCTAACACCAAAGCTCTAAATTTCTGTGAGCTGCTCAGTTAGTTAATGAGGGGAGTATAGGCTGACATAATAGCGTGCATTAAAAATAGGTAGTCTAAAATTAATGCTGTTTTGAGATGTGTTTTTAGCTATAAATGTTTCTTGAAATCTCAATAAGACTAAGCTTCTCATTCGCCTTTTATGATTAAAAAAGGGATGAGAATCATTTTCCTAGAGAAAGGAGAATAAACCAATTAGCTTGTGAAGGTCTCTCTCCTCTCTGACAGCGTATTGGACTATATATTCTAATACACTGGAAAATGTATTGGAAAACAATTTGTGTCTAATTTGATGGAGACTGAAAAAACTCTGACAACTGCTTTTCCAAATTTAGCATTAGGTTACACACACGTTACAAGATTACTACTAAATCTACTATAAAATCACTGATACATTTTGCGGGCACCATTTTATACCTTTTCTGTGAAATACCTAGTTCTCATTCACACAAAACAGAAATGCTAGAGATTCAGCATGGAGAGAGCATCTGTTCTCTTGGTCTGGAGAACTGATCATTTTAATTGGAAATGGAGGCCAAGTCAGGACTGTAATCAGGGGTGAGGAGGCCACGTAGGCCACTGCATGCTTCCTGGAGGCAAGACCGAGGAACTGAGCTGGCACAGTCTTTAAGTCATCGAGTGAACTTCTCCTGTTCTGAATCTGTGTTCGGCATGATTCTGATGTGGGTTTCCCTGCAGAACTGGCTCCGCAGAGGACAGGAGCTGGTCTATGAGTGTGAGCATCTGCCTGGCAGGGTTATTTCTGTGTCAGTGACACATCTGGCATTATGCTTTATTACTTTTTAAACCCCAGTGTAATCATTTTTATGTTATAAAGAAAAGCAAGCGCTGAAAATAAAAAGTTCTGGTTTTAGGACCAAGGTTATGCTTTCCAAGTCCTATCAATAGTAACTAAACTTCAGAGGAAAAATCTCTGTCACTTCCTATCAACCAAAGCTTGTTGGATGAGTGTCACTGTCCACATTACTCTGAAAACGTGTCAGCAAAGGTTTTCAAATAGAAAAGACAAGCTAAAGAAAAGAAAAAAACCCGTCGGAACTTTCGAGAGCATTTAGCTCTCCTGCCGTGGCTCCAGCACCCTCCAGGGCTCCTCTCACCTCCATCAGCGTCTCCTCTGGCAGTTCAGGGGCCTCAAAGGTGATGAGCCCCTCCAGGCTGGGGGGTGAAGCACCGTAAGACGTGTATCTCAGGCTGGGCGCGGCCTCGGCTCCGGGAGGGGAAGCCCCCCAACCCGGCCCCGGCGGGGAGCCCATAGCCACACGGCCGCCGGCCGAGCACAGGGAGCCCGCGGAGCTGCTGGAGCCCGCTGCAAGGAGAGAGGACGGTGAGGGCGTGGGCGGGGCGGCTGCACCGGGCCCCCCCGCCAGCCCAGGCGCAGTCACGGACCCCCACCGCAGCGTTCTGAAGAGGTCTTATTTTTCCAAGTTCACCTTTATTCCTCCCTTATACGCCTGTTTCATAGACATCATCATGGCTAGTTTTTAAACAAGGTTATAGCATATACATTTTTCCCTGTTGCCCCATAGTCCACCTCATCATTAAACGCAGTGGATGCGTAGCAGTTCCCTAAATTTATACATGTGATGATTGCCCGGAGGATTAATACTACTTCTGATTTTTTATATCACAGATAACACTATAATGAAATCCAAAGTTTTTCCTTCTTTTGGATGATTCATTTGTGATAAGTACTCTGAAGTGGTATTGTAAACAGGAATGGGATTACCACAGATCAAATGCTACAAACATTTTTACCACTCTTGTACGAACTGCCACGCTACCTTCAACAGCAGGTGTGAGTAAGCACACAGGTCCCACCAAACCTCGGCAACACTGGGCACTACTTTTAGTGTCGGCTTAGTTAACAGGTATGAAATAGCACTTTCTGAAAATGACATTTTATTATCTAATATTTTTAATAATCTGAAGAACAAGACTATTGGCTCCTACTTCCTCTCTCGTTATCTATTTATAATCCTTTGCTTATGAATATCCTGACATCTTGATTGGTAACTTACGTAGCATAAGAGAATTTAAAGGACACAAGGTACAATATGGATGACAATGCCAAATGATAACTCATTTCAAGTCCAATCTAAATACTTTCTTAATTTGGGGTATTAATAACCTATTTATAGAGTATGGATGATAAAACCAATCTACTGGCCTATCTAAATGCAGGTAGGATTAAGTGCAAAGATTAGGACCCAAAGTACGAAAAAAGGTGAAACTTAGGTCACTAAAAGAACAAAGCAACCATCTACCATTTCAAAAAATTTACCAGAGGTACTAAAATAGGCCTTTAATATAAGAAGCACCATAGATGCGTAGCTCCTTCATCATGGAAAAGTCACATTTATGTTATATTGTTATAATACAGTATTATAAACATACAGTACTTTTACTTTATAAAGCCCCCTCAAAGGTCCCATTTACACCCTATAACCCTTTAAGGTCAAGAAAATGATGATCTCAATGTCACTGGGAAAGAAACTGAAGTCCAGAGAGGTTGAGGGACTCGTCTGAGTCGCATCATCAAGTCACTGACAGAACACTGCACTCCAAACACGAGCCAAAACGATAGCAAGACAATTCTTCACCTGAGGTTGTTCTTGTTCGGAGGACCATATGGGCAGCAGTGGGGGCCACAGCACTGTGTGGAGGAGATCCTACAGTGAACAGGACAGCCCTGGAACTTGCTGCTGTTCCCAGAGCAGGTGCCAGTCCACCACCACAAGCTCCTGCAGGGGCTGCAGGGAAAGTTGACAAAACGTTACATTGCTTCCACTGTGTTTATATTTGGGGGTGAGATTATAGGGAGACCTTTACTTTTATAGCAGGGTTTCTGGGGCTTTTTTATATTAAGTATTTATTACTCTTGACATCAGAAATTCAACACAGATCGCCATTAAGAGTATCTTATGGTAGTCTCTTCTCAGCTGTGAATCTTCCTCACACCAAAGCCTCCTATTCTGAGTCACTTCTGTATACTTCTAAAGGACACAAGCTGTAGTCACACCTGGTAAGGATCATTCGAAGAAGGGGAAACCAAGAGCTTAGAATAAAAATATGAGGGAAAGCCAAAGGGAGATCAGGAGTCTCCATGGTGTAAGAGCTTTAAGAGACAGAGAAAGCTGAGTCAATGGAATTGCAGCCGTACATCTGTCAGGAAGAAATGTGGGTGGGGACCCAGTGTTAAGGGGCCTGATGGGCTGAACGTGGGCTAAAGGAAGGCAAGGTGGAAAGCCTCTCTCCACCAAACTAAGCAGAATCAATAAAAGTTGTCCAAAGCTTTTTCACACTCAAGCATCTCAAAAACATTACATTTCTGACGCCACAGAATGGAGGTATGAGTTAACAACACAAATCACAAAGTTAAAACCAGATATAGAAAAAAACCTGCCATCGGGGCACCTGGGTGGCTCAGTTGGTTAGGCGACTGCCTTTGGCTCAGGTCATGATCCTGGAGTCCCAGGATCGAGTCCCACATCGGGCTCCCCCTGCTCAGCGGGGAGCCTGCTTCTCCCTCTAACCCTCCCCCCTCTCATGTGCTCTCTATCTCTCTCATTCTCGCTCTCTCAAATAAATAAATAAATCTTTAAAAAAAAAGAAAAAGAAAAAGCCTGCCATCAATGTCCATCCTATCCACAACAGAGCATAACAAACTTGAAGCATCTAATTAACAGAACAGAGTTCATAAAAATCTTCTCGGGAGCAAGGAACAGTAGGTGGAAACTAAATAGTATCTATTATTACATGAGATGTACAAAATGACACAGATATTCTCTTTATGTTATGAACGATTTTATTTCAGTAGGTATACATGTATTTAAAGATGGTCATGGGTATATTTTAAGAGCCAATGACCCTATTTTTCTTACGGTCTTAAGTTTTTCCTATCAGCAGTTTTTATTTTCAGAAACAGAAACTTCATGATTAAAAAGAGAAATTTGTGATTTCAAATGATGATAATAAAGTTCATGTGGAAAAGGGAAGAGAAAAAGAGGATAAAAGTGATCAAAGATACATTTTATGCCTAAATGTTGTTTAAGGAGAAAAATCTGGTTTCATATACACAAACTTGGACTTAAATTACAACACATTCATGCAGAACTTACAAACCCTATAAATTTAAACTAATCTGTAAAGGGGGATGAGGCATAAAGTGGTCTTTCAAACAAGCTAATTTCAAAAACCGTTCCAACTTGTAGTGACTGACTTCCGGTAAACAGCACATAGAACGACAACTTCCAGGACGGCAGTGTGAAGTGTGAGGAGCATCACAGACCTGCTTCTCAGTGAAACAACCATAACTGGTGAAAATTAATTTTTTTAAAGACTTATTTGTTCATTTAAGAAAGAGAGAGGGGGGTAGGGACTGAGGGAGAGAGAGTCTTAAGTAGACTTGGTGCTGAGCATGGAGCCCAACATGGGGCTCGATCTCACGACCCTGAGAGCACAACTGAGCAGAAACCAAGAGTCAGACACTTAGCTGACTGCACCACTGAGGCACCCTGGTGAAAATTATTTTTTTTTAAAAACAACCACTTAGGGGCACCTGGGTATATGCACCCGTATGTTCAATGCAGCATTATTTACAAAAGCAAAGATATGGAAGCAACCTAAGTGTCCACCAACAGATAAAGATGTGGTGTGTAGGTGGTTTACTTCTACAATGGAGTATTATGCAGCCGTAAAAAGGGATGGGATCTTGCCATTTGTGACAACGTGGATGGACCCAGAGGGTATTATGCCCAAGTGAAATAAGTCAGACTGAAAAAGACAAATACCATATGATTTCACTCATATGTGGAATCTGAAAAGCAAAACAAATTAATGAACAAAAAGCAGAATCAAACCTAAAAATACAGAGAACAAACTGATGGTTGCCAGAGGGGAAGGGTGGGGGGGAAAGGCAAAATGGGTGAAGGGGAGTGGAAGATACAGGCTTACAGTTATGAAATGAGTAAGTCATGGGAACAAAAGGTACAGCATAGGGAATAGAGTCAATGATACTGTAACAGTGTTGTATGGGGGCATATGGCAGCTACACTTGTGAGCACAGTGTAACGTACAGAGATGCTCAGTCACTGTGCTGCATATCAAAAACTAACATTGTATGTCAACTATACTCAAATAAGAAAAAAAAATTTAAAGTAAAGTATGATAATGTCTCATCAAATAGAGAATATCAATAGAGAGAGAAATTATAAAAAAGAACCAAGTGCAAATTTGGGAGTTAAAAAGAACAATAACTGAAATTAAAAATTCACTCCAGGGGTTCAACAGCAGATGTGAATTGGCAAAAGAAAGAATCCATGAACTCGAAATAAATCGATAGTGTGCAATGTGAAGCACAGAGAGAGGAAAGAGAAGAGAGCCTCAAAGAACTAGGAGACACCACTAAGTGTACCTATGCATAATGTGTATTCTATGCATGATGGGGGTACCAGGAGGAGAGCACAGGCAGAAAAAAATATCCAAATAAATAATGGCTGAAAATTTCTCAAGTTTGATGAAAAACATTAATCTGTATATCCAAGAGACTCAACAAACTCAAAGGTAGATAAACTCAGAGAGAGCCACACCCAGAAACATCACAGTAAAACGGGAAAAGCAAAGACTAGGAGGCAACCTTGGGAGCGGCAGGAGAAAAATGATGTGTCACTTACAGGGGTTTCATTCAATCTACAGATCAATTTGGAAAGTACTGCCATCTTAACAATATTAAGTCATCTGATCTATAAACATGGGGTTTCTTTCCATTTAGTTATGTCTTCTTTAATTTATTTCATCAGTGTTTCGTAGTTTTCAGAATCAAAGTTTTATAGTTTACAAGTATAAATTTATTCCTAAGTATTTTATTATTTTTGATGGTATCTTACATGGAATTGTTTTCTTAATGTCATTTTCAGATTGTTTCTTGCCAGGGTATAAGAAATACAGTGAATTTTTGGGTACTGATCTTGTACCGTGCAACACTGCTAAATTTATTTGTTCAAATAGTTTTTTAGTGGATTACACTAGGATTTTCTACATACAAGATCATGCAATCTGTGAATAGAGGTAGTTTTACTTCCTCCTTTCCAAGCTGAGTGTTTTTTGTTTTTTGCCCAGTTGCCCTGGCTAGAGCCTCCGATACAATGTAGAATAGAAGTGGTGAGAGCAGATACCCGTGTCTTCTTCGTGATCTTAGGGGGAAAACATTCAACTTTCATCATTTCACCATGTTAGTTGTGCATTTTTCATAGATGTTCTTTATCAGGTGAGTAAATTCACTTCTATTCCTAGCATATTGAGTGTTATTATTACATTAATTGATTTTCATATGTTAAAGCAACTTGGCAATCCAGGGATTTCATTTTAGCAGGTGACACTAATATTCCTAATGGAAACTCAAGGACCCAGAATAACCAAAAACAATCTTGAAAAAGAAGAACAAAGGTGGAGGACTCACATTTCCTTGGTTACTATAAAGTACAGGAATCATAGCAGTATGGTACCAGCATAACAGACGTATAGATTGATGAAACAGAATTAGGAGTCCAGAAATAAACACCTTTATAGTCGATAGATTTTTTTTTTTTACAAGGCTGACAAAACAATTCAATGGAAGAAAGAATAATCTTTTCAATAGATGGTGCTGGGATCACTGAATATCCACACACAAAAGAATGAAGTTGGACCCCTACATCACATCATCCACAAGAAGTCAGTCAAAATGGATCACAGATCTAAACGTAAGAGCTAAGATATAAAACCCTAAGGAAAGAAGAGTTAGGCAAGGGTCATACATTACTTAAGAAGGAGTATCTAGGGAAACTCAAAAACAACAAAGAAAAGTTTAGCTTGACACATATAGCTACAGTAAACACTAAGCACAGCCGAACTCCTAGCCAGGAAAACAAAAAAATTTTATACTATTTAACTCAGTTCCTTTTATCCAATATATGATGTCAGACTTTCAAAAAAAAATTAAAAGATATACTAAAAGTAAAAATAGTTTGATGAGACAGAGCAGTCATCAGAACCAGACTCACCTACAGCACAGATTGGAATTATCAGACTAGAAATTTAAAATAAATGATTAATATGCTAAGGGCTCATTAGGGAAAAGTAAACAATATGTAAGAATAGATGGGTAACATAAGCACAGAGATGGAAACTCTATAAAAGAATCAAATGAAAAGTTATAAATCAAAATCACTGAAACAGAAAGAATAGTGCATTTGATGAGCTCACCAGTAGATGGACATGACTGAGGAGAGAATCAGTTAGCTTGAAGATGTGTCAATATGAACTTCCAAAACTGGAAAGCAAATACAAAGACGAATGAAAACAAAGACGGAATATTCAAGAACCACAGGACAACTACAGAAGTATAACATATACGAAATGGGAATATCAGAGGGGGAGAGAGAAAAGAAGAAATATTTGTAGTAGTAATGACTGAGAATTTTCCAAAATTACTGACAGAACCAAACCACAAATCCAGGAAGCTCAGAGAACACCAAGCAGGATGAATACCGAAAAAAATCACACCTAAACATATTATATTCAAACTAGAGAGAATCAAAGACAAAGAAAAAATCTTGAAAGAAGCCAAAGAAAAAACACCTCACCTATAGAAGAATAAGAGTAAGAATTACATTGGACTTCTCTTCAGAAACCATGCAAGTAAGAAAAGAGTGGAGTATTCTCTTTGGATTAGAAACCACATTCAATCAGGTATTTGATGGTCCAGATATTTCCTTCTTGGGATACTAATGGGAGAATCAATAAAAAAATTACAGAGAAAATTAGAACAAAGAGATTACAATAGTGATTCTCAAATTTAGGTGTATATAATAATCATGGGGAGAGGTTTTTCTTTTAAAGATTTTATTATTTGAGAGAGAGAGAGAGAGCGAGCACAAGCGGGGGCGGGGGGAGTCAGAGGGAGAAGCAGGCTCCCTGCTGAGCGGGGAGCCCAACATGGGCTGAGCTGGGCTCGATCCCAGCATGACCTGAGCCAAAGGCAGATGCTTAACTGACTGAGCCACCCAGGCACCTGGGAGTTTGTTAAAACTACAGATTCCTAGAATCCATTCCCAGGAAATTTGGTTAAACAAGTCTGGGTTATAGTCTGCAACCTGCCCTTCATTTTATGTTTTGACAAGCAATCCAAATAATCTAGATGTGGGTCTATGGACAGGTTACAGTCTCTAAACAACTATGAAAAGGCTAGGGGATATCAGTGACCTATGGGTTTTTTTTGTAGAATCTACTCACTGTATAAGAAATGCTCAAGAGTACATGTTTGTTTAAGCTAACTTTGGCCAGTATTATCCTACCAATAAAAACCAATCTTGGGTCAGAATTCTTCCTAACTGGTGATCTTTGAATTATGAAATTCTTAAGAATTATGAAATTCTCATAACTGGTGATCATCAAGACACCCCACAAGCACCTGTCTTGATGTGCTAAGAAAAAAGATGAAGCGGCAGGGAGTGGGTGCAGAAATCTCAGTAAGTGCATGAACAGTCAACAGAAGCAGATAGGTAAAATACTTTCTCCTGCCCTCCAACCCAGCCAAAGATGTCCATGTCCTAATGCCTGGACCTGTAAATAGGCTACATTATATGGCAAAGGGTAATTAGAATTGCAGATGGAACTGCCTTAAATATAAAGAGATAATCCTGGATTATCCAGGGGGTCCAATGTAATCACAAGGGTCCATGAAATGTAGAAAGAAAGGCAGAAGGTCGGAGTCTAGACTGGCCATCGCTGGCTTTCAAGATGGAAGGGGACCCCAAGCCAAGGAGTGAGGGCAGTCTCCAGATGCCGGAAAAGGCAAGGAGATGCATTCTCCCCTAGAGCCTCCAGAAGGAATGCAGCCTTGTCAACATCCTGATTTTAGCCCAGTGACACCCACTGCAGGCCTCTGACCTCCGAAACTGTACGATAATAACGTCTGTGTTGTTTTAAGACACCACACTTGTGATAATCTGTGGCAGCAATAACAGCCAACCAGCGCACATACTAACGAACTACCTACCTAGAAAGAAACCACATTTTTCTTACCTGTATCCATCGGTCGTTCTGTATTTAAACTGTCCGTGCTGCCCTGATGTCCACCTAAAGGTATCTTCACTTGTTGATCTGATAATTTCCCAGTACTGACAGATCTAGAAAGAATGATGTTCATAATGGAAAAGTATACTTAAAAATTCCAAATATTTAAATAATAAGGGGGATTTAAGCTGAGCCACAAAAGGGTTGATGGGAAGTCAGAGAATAAGGAGACAGAAAATAGATACCAGACAATTCAAGGCAGAGATGAACTTCAATAACCAAGACAAACAAAAAGCAGACATAGAACATTCAGGAAATTCAGTGACAGCTCTGTATTCACAGTTAAAGGAAGCACCTGTGGTTTTCATAGATTCTAAATGTATACAGTTCGTATTACGGACCATGTGGTATAAACCAGCCACTAAACTAATTTGGTCTGGTTTGTCTTCATAACAGAAATATATGCACTATTACAGTTTTCACATTGAAGGCTGGAAGGAAATGGTGTCTCTTACCTGCCAAACACTGCTTTGTTCTGCTGCTCAGACTTCTGCCTCTCACTTCCTTGAACTAAGAGACAATGAGAGCATTCCCGTGGGTCATTCCCATCCTTAGACTGCCCTTCAGAAGGCCCGTGACGAGTAACCAAGGCTAGCAGGTTAGAAGACGCTTGCGTTTTAGGTATTTTGAAAGGAGCTGTGGTCTAAGGAAACATATGCAAGCTGGTTACTATGCTGCATGCAGCATTCGGAATTGTCAGGAACGTCGGTCAGACCTGGCTTCACAGACTGACTTCCACAGACAGCTCTGGGACCTTGGACAGTTCACTCCTACGCTCTAGCCTCAATTTCCTTTCTTCGGGAGTAAGTGGGCTAATGTATAAAAAGCATTCAGCATAAAGTACTGAGACTGTGCCTGGCTCACAGCAAGTCCTCATTAAATTGTAACTATTCTCATCAGGGATCTTCCATAAGGTACAGTAGCCCCCATCCACGGTTTTGCTTTCTGTGGCCAATTCTGGTCTGGAAGCAGGTGATCCTCCTCCTGATGTCTGGTCAGCAGGTCAGTGGTAGCCTACCAGCCGTCACAGGCCTACCTCACTCCCTCGCTTCATCTCACCTCGCAGGCATGTTCCCACCTTCCACCCTCTGCTTCTCCAGCTCCCTCCGCCCCTCCCCCCACCGCTCGAGCTCGCTCACTCTAAATGAATATAATCTTTAAAAAAAAAAAAAGACCTCCCCCCATGATTATTATATATTATATATATTCTGGGTGTATTTTGGGAGAGAGAGAGACCACATTCACATAACTTTTACTATGGCCTACTGTTAAAACTCTTCTATTATTAATTATTGCCATTACTCTCTCAGTGTGCCTAACTTCTAAATTAAACTTTATCATACTATCTGTGGTTTCAGCCATCCGCTGAGGGTCTTGGAGCAATATCCCCTGGGGACAAGGGGACTACTTACTAGCTCATGGCCTACTGTAGGGAGCTCAGCTAAGCTACTCCACAGCATTGCTGATTCCGCATCATCTTTGTGTGGCCACGTGGCTGCAGGGCCTTAAACAGACACTAGCGCCTCATGTAAGCGCGCGCCCCTGAGAGCAGCCTGCGGTCACAAGTACATTTAATTCTGGAGAGGACTCTGCCAACAACCCTGGTGGTCTAAAGTCTCCCCGTCCCCCAGGCTTTCCCCTTGGGTGTGGAACACATAAGACTCCTGTGGAGCTTACCAGAATCCCATTCTTTTGGTTCGAATTGACCAATCGTGCTTTAGCTCAGGAACCCCCAGGTCCTCCATCCCCGGACCCTAATAAAGGCATGTGCCCCAGGTCCTGTCTCTGTTCGCACCTGCCTGGACATCCCCGTGCAGCCTCTCGAGACATACTTCTGCCAAGACATGTGAGTAATGGACTTCCCTACTGCAATTTCTCTTGTGGTCTGCTGTTGGACCTGAGCTCACCACACAGCACCCTGTGCCCCATGTGACAAACGTTAATTCAACAAAGTCGCAACGCTGACAAAAGAGTTTAATGAACGCACCTTGGTAGGAGACCCAATGATGGTTGGTAAAGGAGTTTTAAAGAACCAGTCCGAACCGCGAGGAGAGGACCCCATGTGCTTGGTGGGAGAGGTTCCAAGGCTGCCAGGCCGACTGGGCTGAGGTGAGTAGCTGTACCCAGCCCCAGCGTGGGACGGGCACACGGGGTCCGAGTGCTGCTTTCGGAGTTTCTGCTTGTTCTGGTAGATGTCGGTGAGGGTAGGGGCGCTCTGCAGTCTAGCACCCAACAGGAGAGACTGTGGTGATGGACCCTGTGGCACTGGGGAACCTGCCACGGACATGCATGCAGGTTAACCCAGAGCACGGGCAAACACTGAAGAATTCAGAGGACAGTTCTTAAAATGGGAAGTCTATGAATGTCATGTTCTTCAGGAGATATTTTAAAAACTGTGTATTTGGCAAGAGACGATTTGGGGGGATAGAAGGTAATGGTGATGGGTATGTTAGCTGCTCTCAGCAGCAGCTAGCAGGTAACTCAGATTACTGTCTGGTCTAATTAGCACAAGAGAACTATATCATGAATGGCCAAAGTCAGTAAAAACTACCAACACCCATGTTGCACAAAATGATTTCTACTTTTTATGTGAATACGTACTTGGGGATATCAATGTATTACTGTCTTTTCTCACATACCAGCTAAAAGAAATTTTCAAACCAATCCAGAATAACTCTTTATCTAATTAGATCATATGCTTTTCTGGGATTTTATTTTACTTGTCTAAAAATCACAAGCATATATAGATAATGTAGTTATTTTTATCAGTTTCATGAATGAAATTCATTTATAACCTAAAGTGCCCATATTCTCTTCAAAGAAAACACTTGTCCTCAGGTACTCTTGCCTCTTAAGGGAACACCATATTAAGAGCCCGAGAAACAGGGTCTTAATATGGTGAAGAGCTGGAAACAGCAAGAGGACTGCCCCACACAAACCTTGTTGTTGCCAACTTCAGGTCTACTAAGCAAGCCTGGAGCTCCAGTTACAAATTCTTCAGAGCTTCTTGCAAGCTAAGCTACCACCAATAACGGTACGGACCTATAACCATAATCTTCCCAAAAAGGAAATGAGAGCTTTTGCTACTGACCACTCCTAGCTTAATCTCATCCTAAATCTGGTCTTTAATCTTTCAGAACTGGGTTCTGCCGTGTGTGTGTGTGTGTGTGTGTGTACACGTGTACATGTGTATAAATATGCACACACAAATAAAATTAGTAGCAAAATGTTATAAATCTGGAGAAAGTTAGATCTAAGATTTATTTTTAGACAAACACAAAATATGAAAAACTAAGAAAAGTGCTTTTCTCAGTGACACAGGATTCCTTTAATTAGCCAACTCCTCAGATGCACATACAATAAAATTTGACTAATGAAAGTGTGATTTGCATGTATCTTTTCAGGCATATGTATATCTTATATTAAAGCAAATAAACTATATTTCTTGTTTATCTCATGCTAACTGGCAGCTCTTATCAAGAATAGTATTAATCAAAGGAATGAAACTTCATTTTCTAGATTGATTTTCATTATCTATGTGACAATGACCAAAATTTGGCGCAGTTAATTCCCAAGACTTACTTTCATAAAAGAATCAGATACCCCAAAGGAGATATTTGATTGACTATATGATATGCTAAAACATTCTAGACCAAGATTCTAGAAAGTAGGACAACAGATAGAATACTTCGTATCAGTTCTATTCCTTTGATAAGACTAGAAAAACATAACTCAAATCCACCTACAACGGGATTAAAATTATTAATATACCAAATAGGTCTCCTACCTGATGAGTTTCTACTCCTGGACTCGTGACCCTGAGGATGCCCACAGCAGCACTGACTAAACTGCTCAGGAATGGTCCCAACTATGAACAGGGAAACAGGGAAAGGAATGAGAGGTGACTCAAAACCAGTGAAGGATGGAAGCAGGTAAGACATGCACGAACTGCACGGTACATGACAGTTTATGAAGCTGGACGAGCAAAGATTTATCTCAGCTGGCGTTTACTGAGCGACCAACGTGCCAGGTGCTGGGCACGCTACAGTCAAAAGAACCACAGAATCTGCCCTGACACAAGAGCAGCAGGAAAGAAAGCCACGCAAACAAACTGATGCCTGTAACAGGTACATCACTGAAGACAGAGAAGTACAGAAGCTCGTCGTGTTTGAGGCCTGTGGAGCTGCAGGGGGCCCAGCTGCTGTCCCTGTGTATCCACTACGTTCCTGATGCTCCTGCCAAGGTATGCTCCCCAAGGCTCCCAGCCAACGACTACATGTGGGTGTGGCACTAATTCAGGCTGGGTCAACCAGGTCAGGGAATCTTGACAATCTAGTGTTTGGGGACACTCCTTGGGCCTGGCTAAAGCGTTCTTAGAATTAATTCCCTCTAGTCAAGGCTCCCCTGCCCACTCCTCCTACCTCCCTCTCTCCGTCATGGGGGTCAGAGCTACAAGGAGGTCTGAAGGGGCTCCCTCAGACTCCTCCTCCCCCCAACACCCTGTATCCATCACAGGTGCCTCCCCAGTCATGCTGGGACGACTCTGCAGCTCCCCTCTCTGCATCTACCTCTGAGAACCCAAACCAACCAGAGGAAGAGCTGGGAGAGCTCAGGGGTTGAAGTAGACAGGAGACACTGATCAGGTGGTTAGGTAGGCAGGCAAACGTTAGATCCCGAGGAGGGGCCTTTTCCTTGAGTGCAAGGAGAAGGCTGGGACCTTGTCTCTGAAGACCCTGATGTGCCCCAGGAGCTGCTGAGGGGGTGAGGGAGAGCCAGGATTTTGTTCCGGGAAGATTTTTCAGCTAAAAAGCAGCTTCAAAACCACTGCAACAGGTGTGGTGATATACATTTTTAAAAAACATTATTATGGTGGTTTTTTTTTGTTTTTTTGTTTTTTTTTGAATCAGGGCTCCTGGGCATACTTCAATCCTTCTTGCTCTGCCTCCTCCTGAAATTTCTTCACATCCCCTTACTCTTACTCGGCAGTTCTGCCTGAGGGTAGAGCCCTTTACAAGTAAAAAGTGTATAAAAGGGATCTTATGGATAAAAAGTATCTCCACTGGGTCTGGGCTCCAAACGCACAAAATCCAAAGCCCTAGATAATAGTCCGTGAAACACCTACCCTACTTACCACTCCACTTTATGAGGGTTAAGAGACAGTTGTGCACACAGCAGGGCTGGCTGCAGTCCACAGGGCCTTTCAGAAGTAAAAAATACATATATTTATACGGGGTGCAGGGGGCAGGTTTCAGACCTGCCACCTCGGGCCCTCTCTGCACACCCCCGTCCCCGACCAGTGCTGTCTCCCTCAGGTTCCGCAGTAGCAGCTGCTTTGGCCTCTCTTGCACGTATCCTGAAGTTGAGCATTTTCTTTGTCTCGCAGTTCCACTAAAACTGTGGTTTAAGGTTCGTCTTTCTGTTTGGCTGCGGTTTTGTTGGTGCTGTTTGTGTGAGCATTCTCCCCTGTGCCGTGCAGGCTTCCCAGGAGAGGGGGAAAGACCCTTCCTCCCGGAGCTGGAAGGCCCTGTGGACTGCAGCCAGCCCTGCTGTGTGCACAACTGTCTCTTAACCCTCATAAAGCGGAGTGGTAAGTAGGGTAGTTGTTTCACAGACTATTATCTAGGGCTTTGGATTTTGCGCGTTTGGAGCCCAAACCCAATGGAGATACTTTTAATCCATAAGATCCCTTTATATTATTGTATTTTCAATAGAGGTCCCAACAAATTGTACCTAGAGATGCTCATGTGGGGGCCGGGAGTAAGGTAGAGAGTGGGAGGGGGAGGATATGGCTCCCCATCAGCTGAGACTCACTGCCATCGTGAGCCAGCGCTCCTAAAACAGAGCGTCATGTCAGATGTGTCACAGTGAAAACGAAGTTGGAAACAACAGCCTTCCTCTCCTTACCCAAAGGGGAAGGTGAGTAAGGCCTGGAAGATCCAGTGGAGAGTCTTCGTCCAACTGCGTGTACGGTGTCTGCAGGCGCCGGGGAGCAGGATCCCAGCCGGAGGAAGCCCAGCGGGCTGGTGTTAGACCTTCGCACCACTGCAGATCTGAAAAGAAAAATAAAACTACTCCCTCTCTGGCGGGTTCTGAGACTCTCTTTATTTCCTTTTTTCTAAAACGTCCTAACAACGCGCCATGGAGTAGAAGTTCTAAAAATACGTAATACAGTCACATGGGACAAATATAAAATGTATAAAATTGTCTGGCATGAAGATTCCCTTCCATCCTTGGATCCTGTCTGCCTAATTCTCGACACCCCCTCAGCCTACTCCAAAGGTTACCACTATTTTTAGTGTCTAATATATCTTTCCAGAATTCTTTGATTCACATACAAGCAAACAAACTGAAAATATAATCTTATTTTCATCTTGTTTGAACAAAGGTAATATATACCATACCATTTTCTTTTTTTCTTTTTGGTTTTAGGTTCCCTTTACATTCTTAAAATTACTGAATATCCCAGAGTTTTTGGGTTTTTTTTTTTTTAAGAGAGGGAGAGAGAGGGGTGGGAGTGGAGGAGGGGCAGAAAGAGAGAGAGACTCTTAAGCAGGTTCCAGGCCCAGCACGGACCCCAACACAGGGCTCGATCTCACGACCCTGAGTTCAACACCTGAGCTGAAATCAAGAGTCGGTCACTTAACTGACTGAGCCGCCCAGGCAACCCTACCCCAGAGTTTTGAGCTAAAACTGGAAAAATTTGGTAATAATTCATTAAAAGTAATAAACTTATTACATCTAATGTAAAATTATGAAAATTAATTCTATCTTCCAAATAAAATAAATTCATGAGAAGCATGACATTGTTTTACATTTTTAAAAATCTCTAATGTCTGGCTCAATAGTTGGATTCTCATAACTGTTTCTGCATTCAATCTTCCATGCAGCACAATATATGGGAGGACACACATGAAGAATATCCAGCCTTACACAAATATGTAGCCAGAAAAAGGAGGAATATTTTGGTAGCCTTTTCAGATATTTGTGATACTCGTCTTTGATACTACACCAAAACTCAGCCGCCATTGAACATTTCTAAAAGAACAGCTGCAATGAGGAATCTGAAACCAAGGCCAATGAAATTTTGTTTTACATTAGGCTCTAATCTTTGGCGAGGTATCTTGTACTTGGACTGGATCTTTTATCCATGCAGGATTTTTAAACATCTGGTATTTTGAAAAATGTTGATTGAATGAGTTATACAGATATTCCAAATGTTGATCCCCATCACACAGTATCGAAAAGTCACATCTATACCAAATTATCATCACAAATCTTAACAGAAATGGCCGTCAAGGCATAACAGAAGCTGTCAAGATCACATGGGTGAATTTGTTTTCAAAAATTCTAACTTTTGCTCAAGAGCTCAAATTTTATGTCACTTGTTTTCCAGGAATGGCAGACTTAGTTCATTTTCAACAACATGGCTGCCCGATGCCCACAACCGATAGCTCGTCAGCTGTTCTTTCGTGAAAAAACGGTATCCCGTGAAAAATGGGGCGAGTTCAACTTGCAACTAAAACAATCATACAACTGCTTCTCCTTTTAAGAGAACTACTCCAATGTGCACCAGAAGTACTTTATGCTCAGAAGCCACTCAAGGTTGCGATTTTCAAAGAGAAATAATAACTTTTACTGCTTCCTTAAAGACATTCCTTGGTACCACTAATGTGTGGTGGTAAAAGATGTGAAAAATCACTATGCAGTTGGGTGCCACTACCTTGATGCATTTGAAGGCACCAGCAGTTTGCACATCATTGCTTCTGCACCATCAGTGCATATGTCAACATGGTGAAACAAAGCAGTGTCCCAGTATCATTATGAAAACAGTCTTGACCTCCCGGACGTTTCAAAAGGGAGCCATACACAAACCACACTTTGAAAACCACTGCTAGTTCTGCTATCACTTTGCTTTTTCCATTTTGTAATAAACATTGGCAACTTTTCTACCTCAGTACATAGAGAGCTTCCTTCTTCTTTAGGGAAGGTGCTTCACTGTCACAGACGGACGTTAGTCACTTACTGGTGGGTACGTGGCTTATTTCTCATCCTCTATATTCTAAAATTAAACAACCTGTATATATGTAACTTCATACACAGGCAAGGACTGTGTATCTAAAGAGTAAGTTACCAAAAGTTAAAGTGGTGGGTTCAAAAGATATATGCATTAATGATTTTCACAGATATTGCCAAAACGTCCTTTGTAGAAAACTCTCATGAGTTTTCATCTCGTCCTATGAGATGGTGCAAAACTTTTTCCATTCATTGACCTATGCATTTGCTGGGCCCTTTTAATCTAAAATCTTATATTCTCCAATTCTAGAAAGCTTTTTCTTGATTACTTCCTGGAAATTTTCTTTTCCAACTTGTTCTTTCTGGAATGCCTACATTCACTAATACTTGAAGAATATTTTTTATTCATAGTTTCCATCTTCTTTATTTGATTCATCTATTTCAGATACAGCCTCAACTTTGTCTTCCAACATTTATTTTTATTTCAGTTATATTTTGTAATGTCCAAGAGGTCTTTTTGATCTTGACTGTTTTCAATGGCATTTTGTTCTAATTTATGGATGCAGTTCCTAACCTATTTCTAAGGGTACACATTTTTTACATACGTTTTCTTTTCTTTGCATTCTTGCTATTTTGTCCAGATTGCACTTTTCTGTTTTCAGCCTTATGGCTCATTGCACCCCTGCCCTCCCTGAGCTCTGTGGGACTCAGGTCTTGGGGACGTGGGGCACTCTGATGCCCACCCTGCTCCAGCGGGCACCCCTCTTCCATCTTCTTTCTGTTTTCCAGAAACGTGCTGAAACCTCTCATCCACTGAGCATGTCTTTTTATTTGACTCATCTTTGGAACTTAGACCTTTTCGTTCTTGCTACCTTAGTGGGGTTTCAGGATGTGGAGAAAATAAATAGTATGTAAATGATCTGCTACAACTGGTGAGATTTCATCTTTTAACAAGTTCTTCCTTAATTCTTAAGAATTATTATATATACATATCATACTATATTATCCAGCTAAGCTGAAGTATCATTTAAACAGATTCATTACAAAAGTTTTTTATGATTCGGTTTTGTACACCTCCTGCTACACACGACTATGTCAACCACGGAAAGTAACAGATCTTTCAGTCACGACAAAATTTTTAAAAGAAAAGAAAGGAAAAAAAATACTTGCTTACCTTGGAGAACCATGTAGATTTGTGCCAGAGCCGGCAGTAGATGTAAGATTCTGCTCTATGCGCTGATAATTCCTTATCTGAGTAGGAACTGGAATTGGTGCTGTCTCACTATGAGGTGACACAGGGGGCTGGCACTGCCTGCAAACATAATGTATTGAAAAAGGAAAGAAATCCAAGTAAGACCATTTTTCCTTCATTTTACACCTGGGTGACATTGAGAGAAAATTCTAGAAGAGGCCAAATGATCACTTCCATGTGATTAAAAAATGATCATCTCAAAAATAAGGCAAAAAAAAAATCACACTAGTCATTTAAAGAACTGTCCAGGCATTTATAGGCATATTGAGGACTGAGAATCGTAGTAAGAACTGGAAAAACCTTCCTCTACAACAACAGGAGAAGTCCGTAGGTTGGCAAAACTCAGTTTCATCTGCTCACATTCTGCTATTCATTATTATGTGAGGGGAAAAAAAATATTTCTAGGAAAATATGCTGGGTAAAAGAACAGGAAGTTCAAGAGCAAAGATGACTGGAATGTTTACAAAAGTCATGAATGCAGTAAGCATTCCCAAAGAACTCTGACTTTTAAAAAGATTGAAAATAACACTGTACAACTCTCAAAGTACATGACCGATTGGAGGTCCACATGCTGAAGTGTTAGTACTGGCTTTCTGTAATAGCCTCTTTCTTTGCTTTTCATAAATTCGGAAATAATATGTCCTTTCAATTCAATTTACAACCTATCAAAACATCAGGGACAACACTAGACCTCATTCTTCTGCCCTTCTGTAATACTAAAAAAGCCCCATGAGTCTAACAGTTTTTCTCAAATTACAACATTACAGATATAAAGAGATCGTAGCTCTAGTTATCTAACAAACAGTATGATTATCTTCTAAAGTGTCACTTTAGAGCTTTTTGAACCATTACAGTATTTCACATTTAAATAAAAAGAAAATCTCATCCATAATAGAGATGTTAGTTGCTTTCCCCAATATCCATTTGCCCACTCTTTCTTACTAGCAGAACTCAAATTTTATGGAAGGTGGTCATTTGCTCAGTGAAATTATGATACATCCCAGAGTCCTTTGCAGCCACGAGTGGCCATATATCTTATCTCAGTAAGATGTAAGTAGAAGTCTTCTAGCCATTCTTCCTCTTTCCTCCTACCCTAACCCTATCCCTTGAGCCACAGAAATGAAGGCAACAACTATTTATTTTGACTTCTCATCTTGCAAGAAAACCAAACCTTTAGTGTTAAGCACACAACAGTCAGGACTGTTGTTTCTAGCTTTTAGTCTATAAGCTCTATTTTTCATTTAGGTAATTCCCATTAAGTATCATGTATTTATTTATCCATCCATCCTTCTATATTGAAGTATAGTTGACACAATGTTATATTAGTGTCAAGTGTAACATTAAGTATCTTTTAAATACAATGATTTGTGTTTTTAATGTCTATACACTTGATTGTGCACTTGGATCTATTTTCTCAAAATTAAACAAAACAAAACAAAAAATTTCTACTACTGGAAACTAAACAGCTTTACAGGACTTCACTAACCAACTACGGTGCCTGCAAACTCAGAGCACGGAAAGGCCCAAGTTCCCCTAAGGAACAACCAGCATGGCCATCAAGGATCAGAATGTGAATGAAGGAATAGCATCTTTCTACTGTCTCAATTCAATGAGGAAGTATGTTGTTGGTGAAGCAAGTTCATCTAGGAGTTTTTTTTTAACATATACATTGTCAAGTTCTAATATTCTTCCTGTACTCGTTAATCACCACAAGGGAAATTAGATTGGAATCAAAGCCCCTCTCAGGGGATATCAGGCAATCCTCTGCCAGCATATGAGGAGATGAAACAGTCTTGGTAGGTGTCCTGTAGATGTGGCCTCAGTCTCTGGACAGAACCTTCAGGCACACTTGCTCCATCTGTAAAGTCTTCCCTGGAGAAGTTCCCAGAGCTCCAGCTAGCTAGGACCACTACAGCCACTGTTCCATCTAGCTTTATATTAATAACACTATTCAACCATTACCTGACTCCCTAAGCCCAAGGTGAGGAGAGGGAAGGTCTATGTGTGCACCAAGTCCCCAGCACGTGTGGGAAGTCATCTCTGACCCGCATGGAATACTAGAAAGACTAAGCAGTCTGCCCAAAATACAATACGCTTTTATTTTATCTAAATGAGTAATTTTTGTCTAGGGGTCAGACATTTTCCTGGAAAGAAATACAGTTAAATACTTCAAAATAATATCAATAAAAGTGAGGTTCTAAGGAAAGAATGAGATATATTATCACTAACATTACAAAACTGGCCTGTGAGATGATAGTTATTGGGACATGGGGGTACAAAATTTTAATGGCTCCAAAAAGAAAAAGCTCCGAAAAGATACTTGCATCAAACCATTTTAATTTTGCATAGGGCATAATTTTAATGTCTTTGTAATAATTTATTTCCACATGCACTTAATATCTTGTGGAAGAGTGTATATTTTTTTTTTTTCAAAATACTCACCACCTCTCTCTCTGAACCCCTTTCTATACCGCCTGGTGTGTGTACTCCTACCACAACCCCTGGGAAGAGGCTGAAAGCGCAGCTCCCATTTGGGACATGCTGTTCTCAAAGCAGAGGGAAACAGACTGATGACAGAACAGAAACTTTCAGGGCCATTATGTAGTCCTGCTATCACTGCTTTCCCCCTCTCTTTTAAGATTAGCATGTCCCAATTCTTGTATAGAGTCTGAGACAAAAGTCCCAAAAAAAGCTATAAATCTATGTTATTATTAGGAACACATAAACGGGCGATTTGTGGCATCAATAACATAAGGGGGGGTATACTCTCTACAGCAGGGTTTTTGTATGCAACTGAAGTTATCAGTTTAAAATGGATTGTTGTACCTTAAAGTTATTTTATGTAGTCCCAAAAGTAACCACAAAGAATATACCTATAGAATATACACAATAGGAAATGAGAATCAAAGCATGTCACTACAACAAGATCAACAGAACACAAAGAAAGGTATTAAGAGAGAAAATAAGGGGGCAAAAAAAGGCACAAGACATACATAAAAGTAACAAAATGGCATTGATAAATCTTCCCCAATTAGGCTGAAATAAATGGATTGAAAAAGATATCCCCAGGATGCCTGGGTGGTGCAGTCAGTTGAGTGTCCAACTCTTGGTTTCAGCTCAGGTCGTGATCTCAGGATCGTGGATCTCATGTGAGATTGAGCCCCATGTCAGGCTCTGCACTCAGTGGAGAGCCTGCTTAAGATTCTCTCTCCCTCTCCCTCTGCCCCTCCCCTCCACATGCATGCTCTCTCTTTCTCTCTCAAATAAATAAATAAATCTTAAAAAAAAAAAAAGGAAAGATATTCCATGCAAATGGTAACCAAAAGAGAGCAGGAGTGGCAATATTAGTATCAGACAAAAGAGACTTTCAGTCAAACACTGTTACAAGAGACAAAACAGAACATTATTAAAGGGTCCATTAACCAGGAAAATATAACAATTACAAATATTTATGCACCAAACATCAGTGTTCCCAAATATATGAAGCAAATATTGACAGAACTGAAGGGAGAAATAGACAATTACACAATAACAGCTGAACAATTCAATACTCCACTTTCAATAATGGACAGAAAAGCCAGAGGAATGAGCAATAAAGAAACAGGGCTTGAACAACATCCTAGACCAAATGGATCTAGTAGACATATATAGAACACTCTTCCCACCACCAACAGAAGAAGATAAATTCTTCTCAAGTGCACATGAAAATTCTCCAGGACGGACCACATATTAGGCCACAAAACAAATCTTAAAATTTTAAAAGATTGAAATCATACAAAGTATCTTTTCCAATCATAATGGACAGAAAGCAGAAGTCAACAGAAGAAGGAAAATTAGAAAATCCATAAATACACAGAAACTAAACAACACACTCTTACACAAACAATAGGTCAGAAAAGAAATCACAAAATAAATCAGAAAATATCTTGAGAAAAATGAAAATGTAAACACAACATACCAAAACCTATGGAATACAGTGAAAGTAGCATTAAGACAGATGTTTATGGCTGTAAATGCTAACATTAAAAAAAAAATCTCAAATAAAAAACTTAACTTTACCCCTCAAATTAGAAAAAGTACAAACTAGGGGCACCTGGGTGGCTCAGTCAGTTGAGTATCCAACTCTTGCTTTTGGCTCAAGTTGTGATCCCATGGGTTGTGAGATCAAGCCCCATGTTGGGCTCCATTCTCAGCAGGGAGTCTGCTCGAAGATTCTCTCCCTCTGCCCCTTCCCCCACTCTCACTCACTCATGCACTCTCTCAAATAAATAAATCTTAAAAAAAAAAGAAAAAGTACAAACTAAACTCATTTCCTAACAAAAAAAAGGAACTAATGAAGATTAGAGCAGAGGGACGCCTGGGTGGCTCAGTCGGTTAAGTGTCTGCCTTCGGCTCAGGTCATGATCCCAGGGTCCTGGGATCGAGTCCCACATCAGGCTCCTCGCTGAGCAAGGAGCCTGCTTCTCCCTCTGCCTGCCTCTGTCTCTCTCTGATAAATAAATAAAATCTTTAAAAAAAATAAAAATAAAATAAAGATTAGAGCAGAGATAAACAAAATTGAGAAAATAGAAAAATCAAACTAAGAGTTGGCATTTTTAAAAATCAACAAAACTGACATACAGCTAGGTTAACTAAGAAAAAGAGAAGACTCAAAATCAGAAATGAAAGAAGGAACATGATAACTAAAGCCACATAAATAAAAAGGATTATAAGAGAATACTATGAACAAGTGCTTGCCAACAAATTGGATAACCTAGAAGAAATGGATAGATTTCTATAAACACATAGCCTACTGAGGTTGGATGATAAAAAGGAAGAGAAAATCTGAACAGACCCATAACCAGCAAGGAGATTGGACTAGTAATCAAAACTTCTAAGTAACAAAAAAAGCCCAAGACCACATGTTTCACTGGTAAATTCTACCAAACATGTAAAGAATTAACATCAACACTTCTCAAACTGTTCCAAAATATTAAAGAGGAGGAAACACTCCTAAACTCCTTCCATGAGTTCAGCATTACCCTAATACCAAAGTCACACAGAGATACTACAAAAACAACAACAAAAAGACCAGAACAATTTCCCTGATGAAATTGGATGTAAAAATCCTTAACAAAACACTAGCAAGTCAAATTCAACAACACATTCAAAGGATCATATACCATGACCAAGTGTGATTTATAATATACCTACATTAGTGGAACGAAAGACAAAAACCACGTGACCATGTCAATTCATGCAGAAAAAGCATTTGACAAAATCCCAACATCCTTTAATGATAAAAAGCATTCAACAAACTAGGAATCGAAAAAAATTACCTCAACATAAAAAACACCATATATAAAAAGCCCGTAACTAACATCATACTCAATGGTTAAAAACTGAAAGCCTTTCCTCTATATCAGGAACAAGACAAGGATGCCTGCTCTCACCACTTCTACATAGAATTCCTAGCCAGAGAAATTAGGCAAGAGAAAGAAATAAAAGACATTTGAATCAGAATGGAATAAGTAAAATCATTTCTGTCCATGGATAATATGATCTTAAATGTAGAATACCCAAAAGATTTCACACGCAAAAAGCCATTAGAACTAATACATTCAGCAAAGTTGCAGGAAATGAAATCAACACACAGATATGAGTAGCATTTCTATACACTAACAATGAACAATGCAAAAAGGAAATTAACAATGCCATTTACAATAGTATCAAAAAGAATAAAATACACAGAAATAAATCTAACCAAGGAGGTGAAAGACTTGTATACTGGAAACTACAAAACAGTGCTAAAAAAAACTATAAAAGACATCCCGTCTTCATTGACTATAAGATTTAATACTGTTAAGATGTCAATACCATCCAAAGTGATCTATACAGATCAATGCCATCCCTACCAAAATTGCAAAGGCATTTTTTGCAGAAACAGAAAAATCTTTCCTGAAATTCATATGTAAACTGCAGGGACCCTGAATGGTCAAAACAATTTTGGAAAAGAAAAACAAAATTGGAGGTTTCATACTTCCTTATTTCAAATCTACAGTAATCAAAACAATGTGGTTGGCATAATGACAGACACAGAGACCAACAGAATGGAACAGACAGTCCAGAAACACACCCTTGCATATATGGACAAATGATCTTCAACAAAGATGCCAACAGCACTCGATGGCAAAAAGACGGTCTCTTCAGCAAATAAGAAAACTAGATATCCATCTGCAAAGAATACAGCTGGACCCTTACCTTATACAATGCACAAAAATTAACTCAAAATGGATTAAAGAGCTAAATGTAAGACCCAAAATTATATAACTCCTAGAAGAAAACATAGGAGAAAAGCTTCATGACACTGGATTAGACAATGATTTCTTGAATGACACCAAAAACAGACAACAGAACAAAAAAATAGACAAATGAGACTACATCAAATTCTAAAACTTCTGTGCTCAAAGGACACAACAAAAAGAGTGGAAAGACAATGTCTGGACTGGGAGAAAATATCTGTAAATCATGTATCTGATAAAGGGTTAATATCCAAAATATATAAAGAACTCCTACAACTCAACATGATAGACAAATGTCCAGTAAGTATATGAAAAGACACTCAAAACCACTAATCATTAGAGAACTGCAAATCAAAACCACAATGAGATATCACCTCATACTCATTAAGATGGTTATTATAAAAAACAAGCAGTCACTGAAGATGTAGAGAAACTGGAACCCTTTGTACACTGTTGGTAGGAATGTAAAATGGTGCAACCACTATGGAAAACAGTATCACAACTCCTCAAAAAATTAAAAATAGATTATCATATGATCCAGCAACCCCACTGTTGTGTGTGTATATATCCAAAAGAATAGAAAGCAGGATCTCAAACAGATATCTGTACATTCACATTTATAGCAGAATTATTCACAATAGCCAAGAGGTAGAAGAAATCCAATTGACCATCGACAGATGAATGGATAAACAAAACACTATATATATATATATATACACACACACACACACACACACACATATATATGTATATCTATGTGTATCTATCTATCTATCTATCTATCTATCTATCTATCTATATAGAATGGAATAAGGTTCAGCCTTAAAAGAAATTCTGACAAATGCTACAACATGGATGAACCTTGAGGACATTATGATGACTGAACTAAAGCCAGTCACAAAAAGACATATATTCTATATTCTACTTATATGAGGTATCTAAAGTAGTCAAATTCAGAGAAAGAGAAAGTAGAACAGTGGTTACCAGCACCTAGAGGTGGGAGAAATGGGGAGTGCTATTACATAAGGAGTACCGAGTTTTAGTTTTGCAAGATGAAAAAATTCTGGAGATTGGTTGCCCAACATTGTGAATATACTTAATGCTACTGAACTGTAAACTTAAAAATGGTGAAGACAACAGATTTTACATGTTTTACTACAATTTAAACTTTTTAAAAAAAATAGAAATGACAAATTGTGAAACAAAATAAAATTCAGGATCAAAAACATGGTCAAACAATGAATCATGGAACACTAGATCAAAAACTAATGATGTAATGTATTGTGATTAACATAACAATAAAAAATTTAAAAAATAAAATAAAACCATAAGAAACAGGGCAAAAAAAAAAAAACCCACGGTCAAAGTTCTCTAAAGTTTACTCAGAAAAACCAAATATGAAAAACATTCTAATTTAATAAATACAAACATACCCTCCACACACCAAGAACTCATTTGAAGCATGTCTGCCAGAAGGCCCCATCGGCATATCATCTAAAGGAGAAAGAGAAAAACACCATCAGTTCTGCTCTACCACCTGCTTAAAAAACGTAAATTGTCCCAACATGATTATTTGGAAAAACCTGAGCACCACACAAATTCACCACTTGCTTATGATGCAGTTTCCTCCACGAGTAAAAGCGGGTAAAAACCATGAGCAAAAACACTGAACACACTTGCGCCCAGCTGAATTCACAGGCTGTAACCCTTCAGTGCCCACTTCTATAAACAAACATCAGGACTTTCCAAGGTAAAGTGTCATATTTATTTCAGTGTTATGTATCCTTCACCATTTAACAGGCATGGTAAAAACTGTGCTAACGTTTTTATCATGTTCTTTTTAATATGTCACTCACGAGCATTTTTGAGCGTTAGGTCCCTGATTCCAATTTGCCCATAAATTCTGTGGTTTTTATTGAGCAATTTTTTCAGAGAGTGGTAACTTTTAGGAACACATTCCAGCACAACTGACTGTAAACAGAGTCTAGTTCACCCCACTGTTGGAGCACCCCCATCCTGTGTAACACTCCCTGTCTTGCCCGGGCTGTTGAACAAGACGTTGTCGTGGAAGCTGGGGCCCCTCAGGCACTGTAGCACATACCACAGGCCGCCTTCACCTGCTCTGGTATCATCTACATATGGGAACAGAGCTGAGCTCAGAATGCAATGCTCATTCTTGTCACTGGTATGTCCATTCTATCACATTGCCTGTGTGACTTTAAATGGCTGTAAAGGCATAATCAATGTGTAGATATGAAATAGCAATGTTGACCAAATAAGTTTTCAAAAAGAAAAGTATAGGTTATGCTGCTAACCCATACTCAAAAAGGGGAAAAAAAGGAAACAGACACAAATATCCCTCTGAATGGCCCTAAATAAGAATTGAGAAATGCATTTATTTTAGCACATCTCAAGTCCCTGTTCTCATGAAGCTTCCATTCTAGTAATGAAAGAAGGTAACAGTGTCAGGCACGATAAGAAATATAAAGGAACACAGGGGCCCCTGGGTGGCTCAGTCAGTTAAGCATCCGACCCTTGATTTCAGCTCAGGTCATGACCTTGGGGTCATGGGATCGAACCTTGCATCAGGCTCCACACTCTCTCTCTCAAAATAAAAAAAATAATAATTTAAAAATGTACATAAAGGAAAATAAATCAGGGTAAGAGAATAAAGAGAAGTGAGGGAGGAAGCTACCTATTTTAAAGAGAAGAGCTCCTGATATGGTAATGGAGGGAACAAGGTAGATGGGGCAAGGATAGAAGAAGCTACATTTCACTAAATGTACTTCATTTTGTAGCTTTGAGTTTGGAGCCATACATAATTTAGAAACAAAATAATAAAATCAAAAGGAAAAAGCAATCCCTAGAAATCAAAAGTAAAATGAAGCAAAACATTTATCATCTTTTGTCATACATGACCATGTATCAACTTGTCTGTTATTGCTAGAAGGGAATTTTTTCAAGTGACTTTAAAGCTCTGTAATTTGATTGGACATCCCTAATAGGATTACCCTAAGGACAAAAAGACTTTTTTAATTTTATTTTTTTAAATTTTATTTTATTATGTTATGTTAGTCACCATACAATACATCACCAGTTTTGGATGCAGTGATCCACGATTCATTGTTTTCGTACAACCCCCAATGCTCCATGCGGTACGTGCCCTCCTAAATACCCATCACCAGGCTAGCCCATCCCCCCACCTTCCTCCCCTCTAGAACCTTCAGTTTGTTTCTCAGAGTCCATAGTCTCTCATGGTTCATCTCTCCCTCTGATTTCCACCCCCTTCATTTTTCCCTTCCTTCTCCTGATGTCCTCTGTGCTCTTCCTTATGTTCCACAAACAAGTGAAACCATTTGATAATTGACTTTCTCTGCTTGACTTGTTTCACTTAGCATAATCTCCTCCGGTTACAATGGCAAAAACTGAAAAGGCAAGAAACAACAAATGTTGGAGAGGTTATGGAGAATGGGGAACCCTCCTATACTGTTGGTGGGAATGCAAGTTGGTACAGCCACTTTGGAAAACAGTGCGGAGATTCCTCAAAAAATTAAAAATAGAGCTACCCTATGACCCAGCAATTGCACTACTGGGTATTTACCCCAAAGGCACAGATGTAGTGAAAAGAAGGGCCATATGCACCCCAATGTTCATAGCAGCAATGTCCACAATAGCCAAACTGCAAAGAGCCGAGATGCCCTTCAACAGATGAATGGATAAGAAGATCTGGTCCATATATACAATGGAATATTAGCCACCAGAAAGGATGAATACCCACCTTTTACATCAACATGGACGAGACTGGAAAAAGACTTTTTTTAAAGTGGGCTCCATGCCCAACATGGGGCTTGAACTTTGACCAAGAAGATCAAGACTAACATGCTCTACTGACTGAGCCAGGCACCCCGCCATAAAAAGATTTTAAATGGTTTTAGGTTAATTATCTTGTTATTTTGATATGATATCATATTATGAAAGGAGAGAAAAGAGAAGAACCCAAATTCACAAGGGCAAAAGGAATAGAAAAGTCAACCACAAAAATTTAGAAGTTACAAAGTTGATCGAAGTATTATTTGACCTAGGAGACCCTAGAAGACAGAATCCTTAAGCCAATACAAGTTTCCCCCACATGGTATGAGGGAGTATTCTCCAGGAGATGTGAGCAGCCCTCCAAAAAGGAAGCATAATACATAATACATCACCACTGTGCATTAAGACCCACCCCATACAAAGCTTTCAAGCAGGATTCTAATTTTCTATTCTTAATTATGAGTATACAATAATTACCAAACATCCAAGGAAGGAATCTAATCTGTAACTGAGACTCCAAAACAACCTGGGAGAGATAAAAAAGAAAATACTTTCCGTGGGAAAGTAAAAAAAATAAAAAATAAATAAAAAATAATTAATGTCCTCAGAGATAAAATATTGCATACTGAAATAAAAACAATACTTAGGGAGAGGGGAAGCTTCTAGAAATTAAAAATATGAGAACACAAATGATAAACTCAATAAAAGAAAACATCAAGGAAATTTCCCTAAAATTAGAGCAGTAAGACAAAACAACAGGAAAATCAGACAAAAGATAAAATTAGAGGAGCCTGCCCTCAGGGGAAACCACTTCATCATCCAGAGCTTTATCTGCTGGAGTGAAGCTCCACTAACTGAGCTGGGGGCAGGGAAATGCCCAACCAGTGCCTTAGAGTCATCCTGTCCCACCTCAGGAAGGAGAAAGAAACTGGGGGCACTTGTGAGGCCCACAAACCAGAGACCTAGGCTCCCCAAAAGACTGAGACCTACTCACAGGACTGCAGAACACTGTCCTTCCCCCTACACCTCACCATCACATTACTAAAAGCCTACTTACAGCAGTTCCTTTTTACCCAGGACATCATGTATGACTATCAAGAAAAAGTCACAAGGCATAACAAAAGGCAAAAAACACAGACTGAAGAGTCAGGGCCATGGCAAGGATGTCAGAATTATCAGACTGGAAATTTAAAATAACTATGATTAATATGCTAAGGGCCCTAATGGAAAAGGTAGACAGCATGCAAGAACAGATGAGCAATGTAAAAAGAGAGATGGAAATCCTAACAAAGAATCAAAAAGAAAGGCTAGAGATTAAAGAACAGTGTAAAGGAAATGAAGAATGCCTTTGATAGGCTTATTAGTAGACTGGACACAGCTGAGGAAAGATCTGAACTAGAGAACATATTGACAGAATCCTCAATAACTGGAAAACAAAGTTTTTGTTTTTGTTTTAGATTTTATCCATTTATTTGACACAGAGAGAGAGAGAGAGAGAGAGAGAGAGAGCAAGCACAAACGGGGCACAGAAGGCGGAGGGAGAGGGAGAAGCAGGCTTCCTGATGAGCAGGGAGTCTGATGCGGGGCTCGGTCCCGGGAGCCTGGGATCATGACCTGAGCCGAGGGCAGACGCTTAACTAAGACTGAGCCACCCAGGTGCCCCAACAAAGATTTTCTTAAAAAACAACAGAATATCCAAGGTCTGGGGGACAACTACAAAAGGTATAACATGTGTAATGGGATTACCAGAAAAAGAACAAAAGGAACAGAGGGAAATATTGTAAACAATAATGACGGAGAATTTCCCCCAAATGAATGTCAGACACCAAGCCACAGATCCACAAAGCTCAGAGCTCCAAGCAGGAGATATGCCCAAAACAACTACACCTAGGCAGATCATTTTCAAATTACAGAAAAATCAAAAATAAAGAAAAAAAAAATTCTGAACAAACTCAAAAAAAGAACACCATACTTACAGAGAAACAAAGATAAGAATTGCATTGACTTCTCAGTAATTGCACAAGCAAATGATAGTAACATTATATTCAGTTATATATGCTTAATGTATATGTTTTATGAATATATGGATAGGCTTATGTATTCTAATATTTAACTGGAATAAATGACAGCAATGATACAAGGGATGGCCAGATTTTGTTATTATAAGGGACTTCACACTATCATACTGAAGTGTTAAAGTTTATTTGAAAGTGGACCTGGAGTGGGGCACCTGGGTGGCACAGTCGGTTAAGCGTCTGACTCTTGATTTTGGCTCAGGTCATGATATCAGGGTCGTGAGACTGAGCCCCGTGTTGCACTCCATTCTCAGCAGGGAGTCTGCTTGAGATTCTCTCCCTCTCTCTCTCTGCCCCTCCCGCTGCTTGTGTGCTCTCTCAAATAAATAACATCTTTAAAAAACAAAACAAAAAACCCCAAAAAACCAAGTTTAAAAGAATAGAAATCAATTTCTGCTCACAGACCACAACAGAATTAAACCAGAAATCAATAACAGAAACGTAACTGGAAAATCCCAAAATACAGGGGGACTAAAAACACACTTTTTTTAAGATTTTATTTATTTGAGAGAGAGAGAGAGAGCACATGAAAGGTTCAGAGGGAGAAGCAGACGCCCTGCTGAGCAGGGAGCCCAGTGCAGGACTCGACCCTGGGACTCCAGGATCATG